ATAGCTTCTAACTATTACTGCGAAGTTCTTTCGTAAAATACGGGTCTGATATTTGAATCTGTACATAAGCCAGTTGAATGTGTAATGAGACTCAGAATCCTGGACTTAGTCAGATCGTTTACTCTGGAACTCTTACTTCATATAAACCCTACGTCCCTATGCAATTAAAAAAAAAAGCTAGATCCTGTTTAGGAAAGATAAATGTGGGAAAATTTGGCAGACGGGAAATTACATTAGTCTCATGAAGGCATTTGTCCGCATTTCCAAGTATATACTATGTTTGTCTTGAATTTTTATTAGTACGGGATTGAACCAAGTAAGGCATTTTAACCGTCGAGTTATGCTCCTAGCTATTTAATTATTTCTAATTTGCGGTGGAGTGGCCAAATCGAACATAGCTCAAGTGGTTGAGACATCCTCAATCCCACCCACACATGTTGTATTAAAAAAATAAATAAATTTGCGGTGGGGTGTTTGTGAAATAAATTATATAGCTTCGCCCAGTAGAGGAAAGATGGGAATCCCGTGGGCTTGGGTATGTGGGCTGTAAATATGGACGTCCAGGTCTAGTTTAAAGTCTGGACTAAAGTTTTGACTTCTCACAGGAAATAGGAGAGTTAATGAAAAATAGTCAAAAGATCGTGTCCACCAGAATAGCTGAAGCTGGCATTGACTCAGTTGAGGGAAGAGAAATCGTGCGTATCTTGCATCTCGCTCCAAGACGTCCACCTACGAAGGTATTTTTCTAAACACATTTAAAATTAATATATTCTGGATAGGTATTATATATACATACATAAACATATGTATATGTATATGTACATACATAATCATTTATATTATACAATATATATAATTGCAATTATATTCTGGACATTTCTCACATCAAGTAAACTTCAGTTTATTTCTCTCTTTTATTTTATTGTACACGTTTTCAGAGAGAGAGAGGTTTTCTAGTTTTATTTCATTGCCCCAATTTTCAAAGTGATATTAAGGATTGCAGGCGTTAAGGAGGCAGATGAAGTACCGATTTTAGGCTATAATTTAGTTTTTTGGTTGAATCTTTAGTAGGTAAAATTGTTCGTTTTGCTAACTAATTTTATGAATTGAAACAACATAACTATATTTGTTTCTGAAATCTATCTTAAATACAGACTACACCTCATAATTCTAGAATCTATTCCTCTACCCAATCTAAACACGTACTGTAAAAAAGTGAGAAATACTTTTATTTATTTTTATTTTTAATTTTTTTTATATTAAGAAGGTCATTTTTCAGAAACCATAAAGAATAAGAATTTTAAAGTATTCTTCAAAATTTTGTCCTTAAAAAAGAAGATAGTTATTGTAGAAATGTTTTCTAGACAATCCCGATCCGGAGTAGTAATAGTTTTCCATTCGCGGGGCTATCCGTGTTGTGATTTGAGAATAAGAAACTATGAAAGTCCGTCCAGGTCCATAAAGGCAGAGCAAAGTCAACTGTAGCATTCATTTGCCACCTGGATAGCTTACAGAGCAAACGTGTCGGCGATTTACGCGTCGCAACCTGCCCTTGGATTTTACTGTCGACTCCTTTTCAATAGATCGTCATCTACTCTACTCCCTTCCCTTAATCAACCCAATATATTGTAGTTGTAGAACCCATCACTCTTCCTACCGACTTCTTCAATATAAAACGAAACATTTTTTCTTTTTATATAAAGTAATGATAGTTTGATTGGCTCGAGTTGATCATTTTTCTGCCAGCTGTTATATATGAAATAACGTCCTTCCTATTCCTTTTTTATCTCTCAGTAGTTGGTGTTCCAAAAAATATATATATTTTTTGAAAAAAAAGTATAGGCAAATAGATTATTATCTAAGTTCTTCGTATTTTCTCCTTCTACGGGATAAAAAGCAGGTATAACTAGAATAAAAGAAATAAAAAATAAGAATAGAAATAACACGAGAGAGATTATATTAGTTTATCCTGATTTTGGTACTACATTCAGTCGCAAGAGCAAGTTTTACGGGCCTCTTTCTCAAGATATCACTATATACTATAATGACTACCTTGCTTCTAAGTACCCAACAATTGTTACCTTGAACTACACAATTAAAATACTTACTAAACCCATGAGATGCAGATTCCTCTACACTACCTACAACTAAATTTTCTTTTGGATTCTGTACAACAACCTTAACAACAAAAGTACGTTTATAAGGAAGCRATATCTTAATCTTTACAAGAAGCGATATTCTAATCCTGGGGAAATTTATAGTAGTGTGAAAATTCAATTCCTTGTAGGACACAGGTCACTTGGTTTAGCTCCATTCCTAATGTATATTTGGAGAGTAGAAACTTGTAAGTTGTAACGGTCAAAATTATAATCAATTTTCTGTTAAAGATTTGATTTTTAATTTATCTTGTAATCATTAAATTAACTATCTTTTAGTTCAAGAAATGTGGGAGCGAGAGATCAAACTATTGACTTTTAAGGATAGTATGGATGCTTTTGTTCTATGTTCAGATTAACTATACTAAAGAAATTCGTTGCAAATAAAATTGGACGTATATTGATTTTCAAAACATTTGTATTTTAAACTTATTCTGTGATACTTATACAAATTTGTGATGGTTTCCACAGTTTTTGATATATATAGTTCATCTTTGTAGAAAAGGAAAATTGTCTTCTCTATTTTCTCTCAACTCAAGTAAAATACATTTACTTTATTGCCCATAATTCTCTTAAAGTCAATGTTCTTGGATTCTCCCACTAGGATATGCCATAGACTGCTTGATATCTCAATTTATAGGCAAATATCTATGCTCGTCTAGTAATTGGCATTCTTGTGAAAAGGAGATAAATTCATGTTGAGTTATTCTCATGTCACCTAAAAGTGTGACGAAGAAAAATAAATTTAAAATAAATTTAGTTGGGATGTAAATATAATCCACATTGATTAGAAGTAGGAAAAAATCATGCCCATGTAAGCAAAGACAATATCTTTGTTGATGTGAGATCTTTTGGATATGTGAGTTTAAGCCAAGTATGTGAAAATACCGTGTCTATCCCCCTTCAAGAATTTTTGGCATCATAGCTGAAGTGTTTTGTCCCATGATGCACCTGCTGTTCTAAATGTATATTTATTGGACTTGGTTTGGCCTTTTAACTTGGAGTTGAATTAAACTTATTGTCAATTGAGGTTTGGAAAAGGACAAATATTTAGTGGCATTTTGAGCAAGTGGGTGCAACCAGAAGGAGGTGAGAGGAAGATAACTTTATAATTGCAATTGCAATCATTTTGTTTTAGTAAGGTATTATTGTCTGAAGCAGTTTTCAGTGATTCAAAATGTACTAAAAGGAAATTACTGTCAATAGAGAAGTTGAACTCTGGGATTGAATACGACATGACGTAAACCGAGTATTGACCCAAAGAAACAAATAGAGTGAAGTGAGAGGAAAAAGGATGTCCCAGCGATGGAAGTTTCCAAAGTTAAAATATGTTCTTAGTTTCTGCTTTTCGATCGATTATGGTAATATTTTGGGCTGTGTTTTTGTTATGATTTAATTTCTAGGTTTTTTAAAATGTAACCTTCAATATCTATAATTTTATCCCATCATAAGAGAATAGTTTATACTGTTCGTTTCATTGATTTGATCTAATTTTTTATGAATAGATTATTAAGGATTTAATGTTTGTTTTCTAACATTACAGACACCAAATAATTATAAAAAATTAAAGATATATTGATCAAAATTCTAGATGCTTTGCCGTTGGGCAATGGTATCTGAGGCGTTAGGCTCTGACCTTGCCTTCCACTTCCATCCAAGTTCTGTTCTAACAAACAATGAAAGAAACATGTAGCACACTACACCCAACCCATATATTACTTAATGGTTTAAGAGAGTGACATTTTGCTAACAAATGATTCTAACTTTTATAAATTTTAAAAATTTTCAAATCCAAAATCAGTGGCTTATTAAAAATTATAAATTAATTCACTAAACAACAACGATTATTAATATAGTCATGTACAAATATAAACATTTTTATTTTGGGAAAATAAAAGAAAATAAAAGAATTTGGATGCTTCCTTGGCTCCAGTTTGAGTTTTTTTCCTCCTAATTGTATCGGTTTCAATTTGACTTTCACAAGCCCAACGGTAATGGTGTAGCACCAGCTGTGGAGTTCAAAAAAATAGGATAACGTTAATAAAGAAGGCAAAATATAAAATTTGGAACCTAATTTTTTTTTAATGGGGAGACCAATGAGGTGATTGATTAATACAATTATTACTTATTTCCCAACCAAGACATTGATTTATGAATGGTGGTTGAAATTAAATGTGGAATTATTAATGTTAATACCAATAGTTGTTGGTCTGGTTTTTATTGATTCGAAGGCCTAGATGATTTAGAAACACAACTTTGTCAATTCACATTTTTATTTATAATTGTGTAAATTTATCCTGGCCAGTTTGGTTCTAATTATTTTACCTCCTGATGTTGAGTAATGTTTAGGTTCTCCTTCTAGATTCCGACCATTCATAGAGTATGCTTGAAATTTATTTTCATAAATAAGTTGTTATTTTTCTATTCTTGATGTTATTTATCTGCTTTAATTATGTTGGTTTTTTGATGTATTATTGATAGGATCTCTTTTTATTCTTGTATCTTGATCTCAATTGTGAGATTCAATTTTTACGTGTAATACACCTAACCTTTGACAAAAAAAACCCTTGTAAATTCAAGTGTTAGATAATCAAAGGCTTGAAATCGCTCTGAAAGAGACCGTTTCCGCTTTCTTTTCTTGAAATTTTGTTTCCATATGATCACGATTCTTTGCGATCCAAAGTAGATTACTTACACCTACCAGGGCCACTTTTGTCTTTTCACCTGCTCCTACATATAAAAAAAATTTTAGCATACAAAAAAATATTTTTATATTAATAAACTAAAGGAAAATTGTGATAGAAACAGACAGCTTGGCTTTTGATTCTTCCTGGCTAATCGTGCCTGCCAGCTTCACTTCGGCGTGGCTGTACACAGTGTTAAGAAATAGATAAACTTTTTTCAAGTTCACAGGAGAGAGAGAGAGAGAGAGATTCAGGAAAAGAGGCTACCGATTTGAGGCTCTCATTTCTGTTGTTGGCAGAAGGAAGGAAGGTGGGTTTAGGGAGGAGAGAGAAGAAGATGAATTGGAGGTGGACGGAGCTGGTATTTCTCATCATTCTTTGCATTCTGGGATTGAAGCCCAGCTTCATCAATGGAGCCACAGATCCAGCAGATGGTCAGCTCCCTTATTTTTCTCTGCTATCTGCAGCTTCCTTTTCACTATTGGCTTTGCTTCTACTATTGTTTTCTGTGCATTTCTTCTTTACTTCCACATGGTTAGATTCTTGTAGATTGCATATCTTTCCGTAGCTGTTTTCCTGTATCTCTCCTCTGGGTCTTCTGCGTCATTCCACACCTGCATATCGTTTGCAGTACATTACAGAGATTCTTCCGAATTTGAAGATTTTTGTACTTCTTTGAAATGAAAATAGTTTTTTTTTTTGGATTTATGAGACGAAACAGAAATGGATTTATGAGACGAAACAGAAGTTGCGACACTGATTGACTTCAGCGATGTGGGTGTTTGACTACTGATTGCAGTCATTATTCGCACAAATCTAGTGTAAAATTCTGTTCCTCATTCTGAATGGCTTGTCTACTTCTGGCAATTTTGATATACAGCCTCTGCTTTAAGAGTTTTGTACACCAGCTTAAACTCCCCGTCTCAGCTAACCCAGTGGAACGCAAATGGCGATGATCCATGTGGACAATCATGGAAGGGGGTTACTTGCTCTGGCTCACGGGTTACAGAAATGTAAGTTTTATTCTGTGTATATGTTCCCATTTGATATGACATTGATGCTGATTAATGTTGCATTCCTTTTTGTCAGAAACTTATCTGGCCTCGGGCTCAGTGGATCGCTCGGATACCAGCTCTCAAGTTTGACATCGTTAACCAATCTGTAAGGTCAATAGCCTTATTCTGGACTTCAAATAGTTTCTTCTCTACTTCCTATTGATGTGCGGTTAATTTTATGGTGCTGCAGAGATGTGAGCAATAACAATATTGGGGGCGAGATAGTCTACCAACTTCCACCAAACCTGCATAGATTGTATGCTTCTGGGACTTTGTTTTTGTTTCTGCTATGTTTGACATAAAGTTATGAACTGTCCACAATCTAAAGCTTCTGCTACTTACTAGGAAATGAGTCTAACCCTGTGTTCCAAAGGTCCAATATCAAGTTCATACGACAGAGAAGTGTATGATCACCACAGGAAATTAATAATCAAGGATAGCAAGGTTTTAAACAAAAGAATCACAGACAAATTTTTATGACGAAGTCATCTCCCAAAAGCTTAAGCTTGTGGGTTGTTTGAATGGGTTGTAGAATATGAAGCGTACCTTGGGTTCAATAATTGCATTTGTGTTCAGGGACCGTGATTTACATGACATTCTCATACCCATTCTTCTATCTGCAGAAATCTTGCTCGTAACAACTTCAATAAAGGCATCCCTTATTCGGTCTCCTTGATGACTACACTTCAATACTTGTAAGCAATTATTTCCCCATTGATTGGTATGTTTGTTTTACCAAAGACTTTGGCTTTTATTAAATGTTTTTCCTCATTCATTGGAATTGTAGAAATATCAGTCACAATCAGCTTCAGGATCCACTGATTGATATGTTTGGGCAGCTTACTTCCCTCTCCACATTGTGAGATATCTTCCCCTTCTTATTTGTTTCAGATGCTGATTTGAACCGACTTATGATTGTTAAGCCAAAGTTTTTTTTTTTAATGTTCTCCCATATTTGGCTCCTGTTTCCATTGCTTGTATGCACATTTTTCTTCTTGGTGGGCCAAGCAAATTTGAAATTTTGCTTTCACCTGCTGAATTCTATTCCCACTCTATTTAATGATATTTTCATCCAGAAACTGGACAAATTGAAAGTAGTCATAGTATACTTTGTTATACAATGAGAAATTTACAATGATACCTATCATGTATTGTCTTTTCACTTCTTGCTGAAATATATTCTTCACGATGAAGTATGGAAACGTTCGTCTTTATTTTAGTCCTCCTGGTGACTATTTATAGAAGTTTTGTATTACAATCAGGGATCTGTCTTTCAATTCTCTGTCTGGCAACCTACCTCAGAGTTTTAGCTCCCTTTCTGGCATCAGCACCATGTAAGTCTTCAACAAATTAGATCCTACAGTACTCAGCACCTAAAAAGTAGTGTACTTTTTTTTTCTGATTCTGTTGCTCGACTTTTGAATAGGTATTTGCAAAATAACCAGTTCACTGGAACAATCGATGTCCTTGCAAATCTTCCTCTTGACAACCTGTGAGTTTAAAGTATTTAATTTATCATGGAAGAGATGCATCTTTTTGGCTCTTATTGAATGTATTGGTTTTTATATTTTTAAGGAATGTTGAGAATAACCATTTCACTGGCTGGATCCCCGAACTACTGAAGAACATCAATCTGCAGTGAGTATATCTGATGTTATCGCTGGCTGGAGTTTTCTTTTAATCAAATACCAGATTATGACTCCATTAGGCTTCAATATGATTTGTCAATTTTATCAGGACAAATGGGAACTCCTTCAGCTCAGGTCCTGCACCTCCTCCTCCACCTGGTACGCCTCCAGCCACCAGAAGGAACCGAAATCGAAATTCTGGTAGCAATAGTCCATCAAATGGTGGTTCTGGTGAAGGCGAGAAATCAGGAATTAGTGGTGGTGGCATTGCAGGAATTATCATCTCTGTGCTTGTCGTTGGAGCTATAGTAGCATTCTTCCTTGTAAGGAGGAAATCAAAGAGATCATCTACAGACATTGAAAAGCTTGATAACCAACCCCTGCAACCTCTTAAAATGAACGCAGCACAAGGTCATCTTACGCATTGAGATTATTTTTTACAATGTCGTTATTTTTAATATTCTATATATTCTTCAGCACTGCCCGAGTTAAAATGATTACATTTATTTGATTAGAATATGAGACAAAATAATTTGATTATAGTGTGATAGAGATGGTCAAGAAAGAACATGTGAGTTTTCAGTTCACAGAGTTCCCGGTTTCCATATCTATTCAGCTTGATGTTTGGTGCACAAAATAAACCAAAATTTTCCAATTTTAGGGTGTCATAGGACAAATATTTCTTTCCAGTCTTTTGCTGGTCCATGATCTTGAATTTGATGTTTACTTCTTGTCTGTTTTTATACGATCCTGTAAAATTGGAATTAATGCCATTTAAATGTACTTTTAACACTTTGAAACATTGTAATGCAGAAACGAAGTCGGAAGAGACCTCCTCCACACTTTTTCCAACAACATTTGACACTTCTGCTGCAATTAATCTTAAGCCCCCACCTATTGATCGTCATAAATCATTTGATGAAGACGATTTCTCGAAACGAGCCGTTGTCAAGAAGGCTAGTGCAGCTCCTATCAATGTAAAGTCATATTCAATAGCAGACCTGCAAATGGCTACAGGCAGCTTCAATGTTGAAAATCTTCTTGGTGAAGGATCGTTTGGACGTGTTTATCGGGCTGAGTTTGATGACGGGAAGGTTACTCCCTAACTTAATTCTTCGTGTCAAACTATATGAGAAAAATATAATATCCAATGATAGATTTCGTGCTCACATTGTATATGCCGATCCAAAAATCACACGTGGATACTACATCACACACTAGCCTTAACTCAGATCAAGGCAGCTGGCTTTATGTCTGATTTATTTTCTTTCAAACTGCTTCTGGTGCTTTGAGAACTCATCTATTATTTTTTCTGATGTTCTGCAATGCAGATTCTTGCCGTGAAAAAAATAAACTCGTCTGCACTACCTAGGGAATTATCTGAAGATTTCACTGAGATTGTTTCAAAAGTCTCCCAGTTACACCATCCCAATATAACTGAGCTTGTGGGCTATTGCTCAGAGCATGGGCAGCATTTGCTTGTGTATGAGTTCCAAAAAAATGGCTCGCTTTATGACTTCTTGCATCTATCAGATGAATACAACAAGCCATTGATATGGAATTCCCGTGTTAAGATTGCTCTGGGAACAGCACGTGCATTAGAGTATGTTGGCGCCAAGCCTTGTTAAATGACTCTTGAAATATTACCAGTTTGTAGGCATCAATGGGGCTTGCAATAGATTATTTATCTTTTTCGTTCAGTTTTTGAGGGTGGGTGTGTGGGGGTTAATTAGTGAAGTTATGGATTTTCTGCTTAAAAATATTAGAAGTGATCAATTTGATTTCTATTTATTAGGCAAGTTCTTGATTCTGGATGAGTAAAACTAATTGGGTTTGAGCACGAATGGCAAATAGAGGTCTAATGGGAAAATAATTTGTAATGTATTATGACTAATTGCTCATTCGTTAGATACGATGATGGTACTTATCAAGGAACTTTTCAGGTATCTTCATGAAGTTTGCTCCCCATCACTTGTTCATAGAAACATCAAGTCTGCTAACATATTGCTGGATGCCGAACTCAGCCCCCACCTTTCTGATTCTGGACTGGAAAGCTTTGTGCCAAATGAAGATCAGGTCAATCTCGAACTTAATGAATCTTATTTTTACCGAGTCATGTTGTTATATACTTCAATATACAAATACACACTAGTTTGATGTCTACCTTATTCTTTCCATGTTTATTTCAATATGGTTCTTGATGTCTTTAAGAACAAATATCTGTAGCAATCAAGTCTCTGAAAGATCTTCTAACAAACGTATAAATGCAAAAGGTGAGGGATCTTAGTAAGAATCATTAGTAGTGGAACAGAACAATTTTAAGATGGGTTCTATGGCATTTCATAGCATGAGAACTGTGAAGTTGTAGAAAAATATATATTGGTTGGGATACTTGAATAAGTTAAGCATCCATGTCTCACGATGAAACAGTGATGATTATGAACTCATATTTTACAATATTTGCAGGCACTGGATCACAATGCAAGGTCAGGATACACTGCCCCTGAGGTTACCATGTCTGGCCAGTATACTCTGAAAAGCGATGTTTACAGTTTCGGAGTAGTCATGTTGGAGCTGCTGACTGGACGCAAACCATTCGATAGGTGAACTTTAATGCACTTCGAATATGTTGTGTTGGTTTTGTTTATGAAAATTCCTTTGGGAGATCTTTATGAAAGTTTTATGCGTGGTCTAGTTTAAAAGAAACAGAGAAAACATTAGTTCAGTCGGTTTGTCATAATTCCATACTGATATCGTGATACATTTCCAAACAAACAGTTCAAGGGCGAGGTCGGAGCAGTCTTTGGTTCGATGGGCGACACCCCAGCTTCATGACATCGATGCTTTGGCCAAAATGGTTGATCCAGAACTCAAAGGGCTGTATCCAGTTAAATCTCTCTCCCGATTTGCGGATGTGATTGCACTTTGCGTTCAGGTACGATAAGTTTCGGGGTCAACATTCCTGTTTTATTTCAAATAGTAAGTTGTGATGTTCAATGGCTCTATTTTTACAACAGACCGAACCAGAATTCAGACCTCCAATGTCGGAGGTGGTGGAAGCATTGGTTCGTCTGGTGCAGCGAGCAAACATGAGTAAGAGAACATTTGGAAATGAGAATGTATCGTCTCCGAGAGCGGACAGCACAGGTGGGGAGGACACGCCATAAACACAACACACAGACACAGCTTCTTCAACAGTAGTTGTTGGTTGGATGATGGAACTGAAAGAGACATGTTTGTAAGTGTCCAAAATCTTACCTTCTTAAATTATTTTTGTGTCTTCTTCATATACAAAGTTGGAATCTGTCTGAGGCGTAAACACAAACAGGAGCTGTTAATATTACACTTTACGATTGATTGATGTTAGGTCGTCTGTGGAGAGTTCATAATAACTCGATAGGTTTAGTAATTTCATAGAGAACGCTCAGTTCATTTGTTCCCAAGAAATAAGTGGTGGAGATTACTTGTTTGAACATGACATTCTTGCTTCCTTTTTTAATCAATTTTTTATTTATTGTTCAAATAATTTGTTGTCGGTTCTAAAGTCAGTGACGTGAACTTTCAATTTTTTAATTATGAAAAGTTTCTTGCGTTGTAGGTTTGAAGCCAGTGACGTAAAATTTCATTTTTACTTGTTCTTGTCGCAGTCTTCTTTTTGTCATACAAGTTTCAATGGCATCGACGTTTTAAACTGAAATACTTGACAGAGTAATTAAATACTTCTTTTCTAAAAACTGAACCACTCTACTCTTAATTATTGAACTGAATGCAAATATAACCTTGAAAACCATTTTTCATCATTTAAAAGTCGCTCTAAATTGAAATCCATACCTATTAATTTGATTATTTATTGGACTCTTATCATAAATTAAGTCGAATAGACTTCCCCTTCAAATCAACAAAATTAAAAGGATAATTATTACAATAAAAAAATTAATTGAAAAACAAATATTTTATTTTGATTCTTCATAAAACTAAGACAATATTTGTTGGCTTTCTAGTTAAATGCAAGTTCGATATTCGTTTGTTAAGAAATTAGAGCGAAAAGGAAAGAGTTGTACAGATTAGAGATTCATAGGAGAAAGCGGAAATTATTAGGATAGACATAAATTTAGAGGGAAGGAATTTCGTAGTAAAAACAAGATATACTTGAATCTCTCATCTAGTTTAAAAAAGATCTTGTAACTATTATTTTCGACTATAAATGATAGAATTAGAAGACCTCTGTCCTATCCATTAAATAATGGAGTTGGATACATACGTTTCATGTCAAAAGATGAGTAAGACTAAGAGAGAGAAATATGGAAAAAGGAAAAAAAGAAATTAACAGGAATGAAAATATTGCCGAGAAAAGAAGTTTTAGATAAAGAAAAGTTACAGGGAGGGAGGTAGAAGAGAAGTTAGAGAGAGGACAAGAGTCAAAGGGGAAATTTTATAAGAGAGGAAGATATAGTTTGGATAGGAAGTGGGAGACTCAAAAAAAGGAAAAGTGTCGAGAGAAATAGAAATATGTTAAAACTATTTATATATATAAAACCTTAGTCTAGACATTCAATGTTATGTTATTTGATATTTTAAAATCAAATGAACAAATAAGTTGAGATATGGTGGAAGGATGAGGTCTAAAATTACAGAAGTGGCATTTTAATTGAAAAGCAAAAACAGAAACAAAAACAAAATTATGGATAGTTTTCTGTAACCAAAGGTACTGACCAGTACGGGATCTGATGTGGTGGCAATGGCATAAAGAAGAGAATAACAACTTGTGTAGTTTGTTGGTTTGAATGTCTTAGACGGATCCGATTCTTGTTCCTTCCTCTCCCCTGGGAATGGATCAGATCATCAGACTACGCAGCATGCACTCTCTCCTTTTATATTTGTAGAACAATGTAAATTCCGAGAAGCATAACACACCACTGGTTCAAGCGTTGTGGGCTCAGGTTATTTCGTTTTCCATGATTTTGTTGGATCATCTTCCACCCCATCTCATCATCTCCTTGTCTTTTCCCCCCATCTGAATATGGGATCGTGATCACATTCTATCCTTGTACTTCAAAACATTATTCGCGTTTAAATCAAAGATCTTGCAGATATCTTTAATTGCAGTTGTATCACCACCACGTCCCTCCATCTGGCTCAGAATTTTGTCAAGTTCCTTTGATGGCTGCAGGTCCTAATTATAAAAGATGCAACTGAGTTTGTTTCTTATTAAAAAAAAAGATAAAAAACACAATGCATGTTATCTTGGTAAGAGGGATTAATGTTGAATGGATGATCTATTAAAAGCATGATACAAGGATTGAATTGGAAAATATGCCAATTAGTCAAATGTAAAATAACAAAGGAACCTTCACATTGTAGCCTATGAAATTAAAAAAATAGAAATCAACCAATTATTTACAGTATTTGTCGTTCTTATCATTCGTAAAGTTACAGGTTTGGACAGATAAGATTCAAAATGAATTAACCAATTGATTACAATGAATGGGGTATCCTTACTCATGCAAGAGACACACTGCTGATCCAGTAAAAAAAGACTTACTCTATGGAAAAATATCTGGTTACCACGACTTTTAAAAGCACAGGAGGAACAGTAAGAATGATTTAAACTTACCAATGTTGAACCTGGATGCTGTCGTACTTTGTGCACGGTTTTATTTCCATCGGTGGATGAGTTGAACGAGTAAGATCTATCCGAGACCAATTGAAGGAGCTTTTCACTTCCCTAGAAACATATGTGTACATATTTGAAGAAAAAAATGCAGAAACTTTAGGTACATGTAATAAACTCTCGAACAATTACATAAAACCATAGGGTCAAGTGAACAAAATCCAAGTAGAGAAATACCTTCAGAGCTCGCCAATGAGAATATGTGCGAAACAAAACCCAAAAGAAAGGAATGTTTGGCAGAGGTAAAACCTATGGTAAGACAAACCAGGAAAGAGAAAGTTCAACAGAAGTCCTTAATGCATTAGATAAAAAGGAAATTGAAATGTAGCAATACATATTGTGTCAAAAGCATACAACTCATGATAAAATCGACGTGATAAACAAACTATGCAGGAAGATGTATGGCTGATATACCAAACTAAACACAAACATACAGTAAATGCACTTGTTACTGGAAGCAACGAAACTGAACCATAGAAGTATTTCTTGTGGATGGCAGTTCCCCTGGTCATGAGATACAGAAAGTTCACATCAGTAATGGACATAGTCTAACTTTTGTAACAAGAATAGCTTTCTGAAAACAAAAATGACTTGAGATCATATTAAGATTTCTGTCATGGAACCACATCCTTCGGTCATATTCATTATTTTCCATTTCCATTGAGAAATTGCATGCAAGTCACTATGGTCCAGTAAATAACACATTCTTCAATCATCGCTACATTACTTCACAAGAAGAAAAACGAAGCAAAGAAGTATCACTATTTAGCCTTAAACTTGGCGAATTGAAAAAAGATAATGTACCTGAGGGCAATATGCCGTAACCTCCTGCGAACGAGCCGTGGATTTAAACTGTAATGTCACAGGAAATCAGTGATACAAATCGTAATAATGGTAACAAGTCCTTGTCTACTTCTACTAGTTTTGGAATTGATTGTATATAACTAGTCAAGTGTTGATAAAGACATCGGACAATGGATTTAAAGAAAAAAAGGAAGAAGAAGAAGAAGCGGAAGTTTGAAGCCGTTATAATCGATGTTTCTAAAACAAATAAGCGAAAGAGATGAAACCTCGATGGATATGTTATTTCGACATTTGTAACATCCTTGGTTATCGACTTCAAGAATATCTCATCCGGCTTAACTCGAGATAAAAGCTTCAATCCGATCCTGTAAGCAGAAAATCACAAGAGTTCACTAGTTAATTCCACCTGTAACGATGTTCCTAGACTAATAGAATCGCGGTGGAGGGATTTTACCCGTGAAGTTTGTTTTTAAACGATCCATTAGGAGCATTCTCCAGAGCAGTCCACGCTTTATTCATCTGATGAATCAAACGACATTGGCATCGCCATGTATGACTCGACCAAAACGAACACCGGAAGAAAGAAACGAAAACGAAACGAAAGTGGAAAGAACATGGAGGACCTTGAAAGAGATGAAATCGGTAACAATTTCCGCATTGCTACTACTGGTAGTGCTGGAGTGAGCGTCGGATTTGGAGGAAGACGACGAGGAGATTCTAATCCAGAGATCTTTGAGAGTGGAAGGAGTCTGAGAAGAAGCAGAATCGGAAGCCGCGGGGTCAATGGATCTGCCGAAACACCAATTTCTTCCTCTGATTGGGAAAACAACCAATCTGGCTCTCATCGTTCCAAAACTCCAACGGAGAAGAGGATTCCTTCGTATACGAAATCGCTTTCACATAAACCCTAATCCGTAACCAAATGATGAGGAAACTGGTTTTCTCCGAACCGTCTGTGGAATATATTGAGAGAACTTTCTGAGCGAAATTTAATTCAAAGAGACAAACAGACGTGCTGCTGCGACTCCGAGCTGTGCAATTGCAACGACGCGGATGGAGTTCAGCTTGATCATAAACCAAAACTGTAAATCCTAATTTGCCCTTTAATTTAATTTTTATTTTTACCCTAAAACTTTTAGGCCATGACAATTTCATTTTAAGTTTTCTGTATTTCAAAATTATGTTTGTTTTTCTTTACCATTTCTTAGCTATGTTCTTCAGAAAAATAAATAATAATAATGATAATTCTTTTTTCTAATTTAACTTAAATTTTGAAAACATTTTTAAATAGTTGATAAGAAGATAAAGGAAGGAAAATTGTATTGGGTAGCTAAACTTTTATATATATTTACAAAAATTTCAATCTCTTTTGTATTTTGTAAATATTTGAATTTTTATTATTCCATTACATCTGATATACATCATGTATATCCGATTTACGTTCCATCTGATATACCCTGATATATCTTTGATATACTTACGATCTACATCTAAATGTACATCTGATGTACCCTCGTTTATATTAGATATACGTGTTATACATCTGATGTATCTTTAATTTACGATATACTAAATATATTTGTAACCGATATACCTATGTATATCGATGTATCTCTAATGTACATTCGATGTACGTTAGTGATATACTAAATATATTTGTAACTGATATACTAGATATAAGGTATATCAAATGTTTAATTTTCAGTGGTATGTCAGTTATTTAAATTGTAGTTTATCACTGCGATTTGTCAATGTTATATTAGTGGTAAATAAATGGTAAATTACACAATCATATAAAAACTTATATAAGTAGAAATCATTGTTATATCATACGTATATCAGTGGTAAACTATATTAGAAGTTATATGAGTAAATATCGTAGTTATATCAAAAGTAAATTAATTGTATATCAATATTATATCAGTGGTATATCAAATACATATCAATTATATATCACACGTATCCATAGTAAATCAATAAATATTAAATAATATAATTATATAAGAAATTATATTAGTGCATATCATAATTATATCAAAGGTATATATATCATTACTACGAGGATAAATTTGACATTTTACTATTGGACCTCCGTTTTTTCTAAAAAAATTGTTATATTTACAAAACTAAAATGTAGATGTTAAATTTGTTTTCCTTAAATTTTTTTGTGATATTTGCAACCGCCCCTTATTTAAGAATAACATGGAGTCGAAAACAGCCTATTATTGGTGAAGGTATTTCATTGTAAAGAAAAGGAAACTTCCCTGAAATTTCAAATGAAAGTAGGAATTAAAAGTAGCCAGACATGGATTACTTACCGATCACACCTGGTTTTAAAAATCAGACGCAGAAATCAGAAATGTCATACAATTGCATTCTTCATTCATTATTTCATTCACTAAAAGGCTGAATATGTTACAACAAACAACACTTCAATCTCTTGAACAAACTTTTGGTTCCCTTTTTTGTTCCTCTTTTTGCACACTGCCAATTCTACAGAGATCTTACACTATGATACATGCTCACTAATTTCAAGTGAAAGCAAAATCCAATGGCTAAAAATGGATTGAATCAAAGAATCGGTTGTTTAAAGGAAAAAAAAAATCTGTTGCTCATTCATTTTCTGCAATAAAATTTGGGTTCTGACCTTGACAGAGATATTCATCACATAGGGAGGCCGATCCCCAGTCCTTTCTTAAACGCAAAATGTCCTCTGTAAAAGTGGAACCCGATGTTCCAATGAACACTCTCGACATAGCACAGATGGTCTTATCCAGCATGGCTTCCACCTTCATCATGATTTCAGAACAAAAATCCCAATAAGCGAGTGCATATACATTTATATATAATATGTGTGTGTGCGCGTGTGTGTGCGTCTAGTAATTCAATCTCTAAGAAGAAACTTCTTTATGTAGAAGTCGTGGCAAAGGTTGATCTAAGATTTAACACCCCTTTTAAGATCAGAACAAATCTATCCTGATTGAGTAAGCTCTTAGTTGGCAAATTCATGATGATCAAAATTCAGAAGCAAGTAATATATTCAAATGCTAGAAGAACACATGAACAGCACAGCATACACAACTTGCACATAATTTCTTGAGTGTGAATACTAATTTTGTCCTCTTTCAAGAACTAAGAGGAAAACTTAAGACTGCATCCGAAGAAACCAATCACTACCTCTAGTGGGATGCGACTCATACAACCCACTCTGAGTTTTTGAGTCAGAGAGAGACCAGAAAGCTTTTCTTTAGCTACAATAATCTTCATCTTCAAGGGAAACTAAATTACAGTGGAGTACAAAAACTAAAAACTTCTCGATGCCCAAAGAATGAGTAAACAGAAACTATAAACAATGATCAGTAGCCATTTTCTTGATCAATTATCAGTCCTTTATGTCCATATCGACACTGTCACTCAGAGAAGATTTTCTAATGCCTAATGAAATTATCTAATAGGATCAATACTGGGTGAGGAGTGAGGATGCATAATAAATTTAGCATATTTTATTTGCATAAGATCATTCAGATTTGATTTGCTAAAGAAAAGTCACCTGAGAATCTCCCTCAATCTCATGCCTGTACAATAAAGCATCCCATTTCTCAGCATAATTTCGAGGCGGTCGTTTTACAAGTGGTACGGGCTTTCCATTCACTACAACAAGGGACTGCAGCAGTCCAGTTTCACTGTCTGCAGCATCTGTGGAAAGATAAATGACAGGTGAATTGGACCGTTCAACTACAGTTGTGATGCAGTCTGCAGCTTGAGGAATAGGGTAAAAGCAACTTGGCCGTTTTGCATTACTGGAAATAAGCAAGAAAAAATATGAGTTTCCTCAACATCAACGCCTTTCACAAAGCACGAATGTTGTAATATTACACACTGAGACGAAGCGCGCCTCTATGAGCCACATCTCGATGACCATATATATTACGCATGCCACGTGAATGAAAATAACAATAAAGACAATAATAATTGCAGAACTTGAGAAAACGTTGTAGTATTATGAACATCAATACAAGATTTGAATACAGATCAAGAAGCGAAAGAACAATGCAAACAATAATAACAAAACATAATAGATCATTTCGAGTACGTCAAGCTGTGTGATAATAATGTTTCTTACCTAAGAGATAAAACGAAACATACAACATTAACTTGGCATATATTGGTGATGGGGGGTGGATGACATACCAGAACTTCAAAAACCCATGCCGTCTGAAATGAAGAGCTATGAAATCGCTCCCCAGAAAAGTCTGAATAAAACGCTGGGCAGTGACCATAATAAGATGACTAGGTTCGATCAGGGTCTTGCATTTGTGGGCAATAGGACCACCTGGTTGCATAAACCAGTCATTCTCTACATCAGCATAGAAAACATCTCCAATGGCAATAACATCGTCATTAGAAGAGAACTTGGACTCGATATCTTGAACTGTTCTTTTATTGGGCCTCTGAATATTCTCATCCCAAGGAGACTCGAGTTTGCCCGTGGAAACCCCTAAATTGTTTAACTTCTTAACATGTTCCTCATCGAAATAACAGGGATTAGGTTTTGAGATATAGCAGATGAACTTATCGATCTGCAGGTGCTTCTTCTGAATCTCGGAAAACTCTTCAAAAGAGATGACAACTTTTCCACCCAAGCATTTATTGACGTGATCTACATCCAACACCCTACTGTACTGATAATCCAGTTTGGAACTAGGAATAACCAAAACTCGATTAAGAATGGCCGCAAAGAACATATGCTTCTCTAAGCAAATCAAATGATTCGACATTTGTCCTGAAGCGCAGATGGCAAACAAATACTTATTCGATTTCGGATTCCATTCGATAGTCCGTCTACGGGACAAGTCCTGGTCCACCTTTCTACACCTATCGAAACCAGAACCAACAAAAGCAGGGTCGCCTTCGCCTACTTCAATCGACGACGAGTTCCCAGATTTATGTGGCGACAAAAGAACGTTTTGGATCTCTTTATTCAGCGAAATCTGCCTGAATAACGACAATTTGAGGTCCTCGAGGAACGGAGAGGACGAATTCAACAAATTATCGGAGGTGACACTAAATGTAGAATTGGATTCAGAACTGGACGACTGATTCCAAATAGACAAAAGACCTAACTGCTGCTGCTTCAACAAATACAATGCGTGCAGTTCAGATTCTCTCATTCGATGACTGAGAGAATCATAAATCCCAAAGGACGAAGAGAGCTTGCCGGAGAAGAGACTGCGAACGTCGGAGAAGAAATAGAGGAGGATAAGGAAGAGAGGAAGAAAAATGGCAAAGAGATACCTCCTTTTGAAGGTGAAACGATGTCGACGGTAGCCGGAGCGAAGATCAAGGCCATCGCCGACATGGAAGGCGGCGGCGCGAGGGGAAGGAGAGTGCTTGATCTCATGCTGCAGGATCAGATTCTGCCGATCGTCGTCATCATCGGAAGACGAATCGGACTTCTCCATTACCGCCCCAAAAATCAGTTTCTGTGAGTAACAGAACAGCTGGAAAGGGTAAGAAATGCAATGTTAATTACTAAACAGTAGCCGTTAATTAGAAATTAAAATACGATCTCAAGGTTCGTTAAGTACTCTGTCGGTGGAGAAAACGACAACGAAGCGGCCCACCGGACTTCGATCTGATAAGACGTTTGTTGGGCCCAGCCCAACTACCCTCGACTCTTCCTTTGTGCCAAAGCAAGGCTTTAGCCTTTAATAGAGTAGGTTTGAAGCAAAACTTGCACTTTCAAAATTTTAAGATTTTTTTTTCCCAACGTTATAACAATATTAATAAAAAGGTTTAGATCTCGTCATTGAACTTTACAAAAAATTATTATTTCTGTTGTTGATATTATTTTGCACCCAATACCTACTCGCCTAAATTTATATTATCCATTTGTAAGATGCAAAACAAAGATAAAGAGCATAACAATTATTTTTTTAGAGTTCGATAGACATTTTACAAATGTAGAAACAAATGTAATAAACCTAAAAGTTAAGGGACCATAATGAACATTTGAAAGCTTGTGAAAAAAAAAAAAGAAAAATCTTATCAATTGAGGGACCAAAATGAGATTTAAACCGAAAAAATTAACCATTCTAGAAAATATTACAAAATTAACCAGCCCATATGCAAAACTTGCATGTCCATGAGAGGGCCCAATTCAAGGGACTAGCAAGACCCAAGTGAAGAACACGGGCCGTGAATAGGGCTTTCAGAATCTAAAAGTGGGCCTGAAATTAGCCCAGCCGAAAAGAACTTACAGGGCAGTACGAACCCAGGTGATGATCATGGGGCCTTCCACGTGGGACATGGCCATTAAATGGACTTACCAAACGATGCAGGCTTCTCGGACAGGACGTTGGGCTCGGCCCTTTCCAGGCGGCCCACTTGTGGTTTGGTAAAGAGACATACATGTTCCAAAAAATGAGGCATGCCCACTCAATAGTCAATACCATGCTATTGTTAATAGTTATGTAATATAAAGAAAAGAAAAAAAAATTATTGGACTTGAATCATTCTGTTCCAAAACTCTTTTTTTTTTCTATCAAATTTTGTTACAAAAATTTCTCTATAATTAAAATTAAAATTAAAAAAATAATGGTATTTCAACTCATTATATTTACCTACAATTAGTATTCTAGTCATAGAGTCATTCGCAAGTGGAGTAGTAGGAGGAGAAAATATTTGGGGTCTGGATTGACTTTTTCAGTTGAATTGTTGATAATGGACTAAAATCAATACTTTTCATCCTTTCTAATGGGTAATGATGCGATCATGCGAGCACAACAAAAGAAAAAGAGAAAAAGAAATGAGACTTAAGTAAATAAATTTGGTTGATGTTTTTTTTTTGCCGAGCTCACATGTCGGTCACGAGGGAATGTGGACGAACTGTTGAGATGATCTCAAATGAACCTGCACAGGGAACAAATATTCCGACGTCCAAGTCAGTTGCGAGCTTGAGCTGTATTAACTCGTTCTCAAAGGAAATAGCACACCTGAGATATAGATGGAGTGTCCCTTTTATAGGTAGGCGGGGGAGACAAGACCATTGGGACCGTTTCGACTAACAATTACAGCTGTTGAACTCCCAGGCAGGTGGTCGGACCTGAGGTCGGGCTCCTCAAGTCGGTTTATATCTTTACTTCCTATTAGCAGCAGGTATCGAGGGTCCCTTTTCTGCCTTCTAATGACTCCAAACTGAATAGATGCTTTATACGTGTCCAATCTAATTTTGACCACCAACGAATTTAAAATTTCAAATAAGATATTTATAAATGTTAGATCAAAATTGAGTGAACATAAGAATTTAAATGGGGTTTTGATCATTCAACTCTATCTACCTTTTTTAATGAATAATATGATTAAAAATATCTTTCGGCTGAGCAAAAAGAATTGAAAAGTTTATTTCAGTAAAATGAAGACAATAAAATATATGAATCAAAATAAATAACTTTAGTTAATCATATTTCTTCAATTATGATTAATAATGAGTACGCAGGACAAAATCTCTTTAAAGATATGAGATTTTATTAAAAGAAAGATTGCAATTCTCTTCTTGCAATAGCTTCAAATAACTGAAATAGTATGTTATCCATTTCTGAAACTAACAGTAGGCTAAAAAGAAAATACAACTTAAAAATATAATGTCATGCAAGATTTATATTAAAATACAATTACTAAAAGTAAACAATAAACACACATTAAAAAAAGTTCAAAATCAAAATATAGCATTTTTTTCTGGCAATCAAATCAAATCAAAACATAACATTACATTTGAATTTGGAAAATAGGTGTGAAAATGAAGAATTAAAATTGGGTTTTTCTTTTATTTGAAAAGGAAGAGAAAAGGGAATTTAGGTGAAGGGGTTGGTTCCATGTGGGCGTGCTGGGTAGTATGATAGCCACACAAATTAAATAAATAAATAGTTTAAGGCTGTTTAATTTTAGTTTTACTTTTACTTTTCTAGACTATACAATAATTACCAGTAACTGTTAAGCAACCTACTTTCCTTTTTGATTCTCTGCTTTTCAAAATTAAGCTACATTTCCTTTTTCTTTTTTCTTTTTTAATTTTGTTTTTGATATTCAGCCAAATATTCAAATATGTTTCGAATAGAGGTGAAATATACCAAGAAATTATGAGAAAATATAATTGATTTTTGTTTGGAAGGAATAGAGAGAAGAGAAATGACTATTTTTCTCTTTTTTAGTACAACATAGGCAGAAAATTCAAACTCATCTCGTAAAAGCATCCATATGTACAAGCAAAGTTTTAAATCGAATTTACAATCTCTTGATTGAAGATACATGTGATGAATTAGGTAAGTTATTAGAGTAATTTTATTGAAATATTGAAATTGTGAATTTAAAAATGGTTAGGAAAAATGATATTAAGTTGGTGTAAAATAAAGCAAAAAGCAGGCAAAGAAGACTGACCGAGTCAAGAGAAGAGAAGACGTGATGGATTAATGGTGGTAGACTTCGACTTTGGTTCGTTCGTTCAACTGTCTTACTTAACCAAAAACCACCTCTCCACTCTCCACTTTCTTCTTTCTTTTCTTCCACTTTCTCTGCAACAACAAAATTCACCATAAACACAACTCAATCCCTATTTCTCTTCCTCGTTTCGGGCAATGGAGGAGCATACCTCTCGGATCACTCGGCCATTTGGAGGTTCCTTTGCCATGGAGCTTACCGGCAAGATCATGCTGGCTGCCATTTTGATCCTCTTTTTGGTCATCATCTTCGTTCTCGTTCTCCAGCTTTACTCCAGATGGTTCTTGTCCCGCATTGTCGAATCCACGCCGGATTCCGCCGCAAGCCACGGCTCTGGTCAGGATTCCCTGCGGAAAGGGCTCGACGCCGCCGTGCTCCGGTCGCTTCCGGTGCTGGTGTTCGAGGCGGCGGATTTCGAAGAGGGATTGGAATGTGCTGTGTGTCTGTCGGAGCTGGCTCAGGGAGAGAGAGCTCGGCTGCTGCCGAGGTGCAACCATGGCTTCCATGTGGATTGTATCGATATGTGGTTCAAATCCAACTCCACTTGCCCTCTCTGCCGAAATCCAGTCGCACTCCAAGCCCTAAATCCCTCCCAATCGAATTCCGCGGAGGATTTGGAATCCGGATCTTCAATCGAGTCTCCAATTTTCCCTACGAATGTTCTGTTTTGGGGAAACCAAATGCAGGTCAGTTCCAGAGGAGTTTGCTTGGAAGAAGCTCCAACTTCTTCTTCTTCAGCAAACACAAGGCCAGATGGAGTTGTGGCTATTGACATTCCGAATGAGCCCTCAGCATCTTCCTCCGGCGCCGGAGCCGGCGGCTGTACCGGCGATGAAGAGATGAAGTCGGCGTTGACAACCAGATTGAGAACATTGAAAAGGCTTTTGAGCGGAGAGAGAAGAGCCGGCGGGAACAGCCTCACTCCCTCGGATCTCGAGCAAGTTGGGAGAGGGCAGAGTTAAAAAAAAACGAAGATAGAAAAAAAAAATCAAATCCTTCTTTTATTTTATTTGTTTAATATTTTGCACATATAGATTATAGACTCAAACGAATCAAAAATTAAGGGTCACGTAGAAGAAACTTCTTCAGAAATTATTCTTTTTCCAGAAAATTGCTCAATTACAAGCCAGAGACTGTGTCCTCCATAGTCCGGCAGCTGTCTTTCAAAAACTTGTCGAGTAATTACTATTTTGTATTAAAATTCAAAATGCTTGTAATC